CGCTCTGTCTTCGGCCTCAGTTCTCGGACCCTGACAGCAACCGTACACCGGCTAGTAGGCAGATATTATCGCCGGCAAAGACAAGGGGGACTAGAATGGCCATTTCTGGCTTATGAGCCGTCGTCAGTCAGTCATACCCAAAGCCAAGTGGTGCAGCACCCGCAGCTGGAACTCATCATCTTTTCGATCAGAGGCTAACACCCTAACCATTGAGCCACGAGCTGGTTGTCTTGCCGGTTTAGGTCGGGAGATATCGACACTCGTCGATAAACGTCGATAACCGAACTCACTTGTCCCGCTCCGCCTTTGCCTCGGGCCTCAATTATTGGGCAGCAGTAGCAGCGAGTACTATAGGCAGATAGTAGTGTAGAGGCATTTTCGACAACAGGAGACTGCAGCTAGCAAATCAAATTGATGACAGTTCAACTCTCGAGCTCGAAGGTCAAAGTGCTCAGCCAGTATTGTGTCATTTGGTGGAGATATATATGTGGGCGCGCCATCCCGTGAGATGCTAAACTATCCATCGGACAGTATGCAACAGAGAACGTCAATATTTCTGGTGCATTTGTCTTCTTTATTTAGTGTTACACGTGCATTCTACGCACAACGGATTGAAAGCAGTACTCTGGTGGCCGAGGATATGAATAGGGGACTCAAATCTGGAACCGGTGAATTGCTCGATCAATCTTCCGCTGATGAGTAAATAGTCAAAAGACCGTAATCTAAACCTTTGAATATGGCATCTGACATTGTAAGGAATGTAAATGAGGTGCAACATCGAAAATGTTGCTGATGGATCGCAGGAAAGCATCGATGAATAGAGAACTGGAATTTAGTCCCCATTAAAATGGGGATCTCTAATAAATGAGTAGTAATAGGTGCTGAGTGTGGTGAGATACACGGCGCGAGAGAATAGCCTTGAGGTCGGCAACTTTCAGTCAAAAAAACAGTTGAAGTTACATACTCAGTACGCTAATTTCGCCAGGAAAGAAGTAGCTATAAAAACATCCACAGGCATGCGTCCTGCCAAACAAAGCCTAGGCCCCGCAACCCACATATAAAATCAAACACAAACCACCCCCAACTACTTACTAAACTAAAGTAGACGTATTATTATAATGCAAAATGCTAATCCAAAAGCCCAACAACAGAAATTGTTGCGTACAGGCGTCATGAAAAAAAGTGCTACGCTCTACGCTTCTTATTTCTAGTCCTTACTTACGGGGTTACGAAAAATGACCCCCTTTAGAATACAGACGCCTTTTTTCAGGCAAGACCATCGCAAAACAAAAATCATTATTCAAACGAGGGCAACTACAAACACTTTTGAGCAGACTGTTGACGCAGCTGCAGAACAGGGGTGGTTGCTTTTGGAAACTGAAGCTTCTACCACGGATCAGCACCGATAAACTTCACACCCACTTCTGACTCTTAGGCCCATGGATACGACGAATAATGCAATATTTCCTGGAAGCTCTGAAAGATTTCTCGTCACTGGAAATAATACAATGCATGCAACCTTTCCAGAAGATATTTTGGTAGCTATTTATTTCGACTATACAGGCACCGTTTTCTGAGCTGGGTACCTTTTGACACGTTCTTTTGTAAGGAATAACTACTCCAAACTACTCCTATGGACTTAACAAAAGCAGGGAATTTATTTGCATGGCTTAAAACTCTGTGCTCGTTGTCGCAATTCGAAATGATGCTTAGCATTCAGTCTCTCTTGTCCTTGCCGACAATACTATCTGCCTATAAGCTGAACTAATCATCTTGTCGTCTCGAAAAAATGGACTGGAAGATTTGTGGAGGATTTAAAATCAAAAGAAATTAGCCCTCTCGGGGAAAAATTCTAAAAAGCTCGAATTGCAACAAAGAGCACGGAGTTTTACGCCGTGTAAATGATTTTTCTGCTTTTGTTTAGTCCAGGGGCTAGTTCAGAGTATTTATTCCTTATAAAAGAACGTGTTAAAAGGTACAAGGCTTGGAAACTGATTC